ATATTTGCAGCAGTGAAAAAACACTTGAGACCTAACCCAAGGATCTGTGAGGGAAACCTGAACAAATATAGCACACTTTTATGTATATTATCTTCGACTTTGTCACGTAATACCCATTGTATTTATAACGTGATCCAATATTTTATATAAAGTGTCTGATAAGAATAGTATCGTTAAACCGATTGTCTTCCGTCTCTTGGGGAATGTTCCATACCTTTGGTATCCATTTATTATCCAGGCATCACACATAAGAATTCTAGGCATTTATCAGCGGCCAAACCCCATAAAAATGCCTAACAAAGAGGCTAAACCAGACCGAATGTATTCCTAGTCCAAAAACCTCTTCAGGCAAACACAATTACTCATTTTATAGGCGTAGGAACTCTACCGCTCGATCCAACTGCTTTAAATAAACGCCTTTTACTCTATCGCTGGGTTATATCCACATGTAACGAATAGCAGAGGAGATTCCGAGAAGCGACCGCTGACCAGGCGGTAACACTGCACCTGTGCCAATCGCACTTGGTTACGCAGACTTTTACTGATTAACTTCAAGATGGTCATGCTCATCATGATAGAGCCGGTTTATCAGAGCCGTGAATTCTATCGAAACAAAGAGAAGTCGTGTAAGATTTCGAATGATATTCATTTCAAGTAGACAAGTATATGTTCACAAGAGGACGCGTTTGCTGGATAAGACAAGTGCATTTCCATTCCAAAGAATAGCTTGCAACAAATGTGCATTCATCAAGAATCTTGATAAAACCCGACGCAATGCAAGAAGTTCAAAAAAGTAGCTGTTTGATTCAGTGGTCTTACATGATTAGACAAACATATTCGTAGATTTGCTCTCATTTTATTCTTGCATTTTACAACAACACTGGTGATTGAAATTACTGGCACATAATGCCCGTTTGTTTCTTAGCCTGGATTATTGGGCTCGTTATTCGTTTTTTTCCAATCTAACCATCGAATTCTGAGAGAATGTGGGCATCGCATCGTTTAAGTACATTAGATTCATAAATGAAACGGATCCAGTTGGAAATACGGACCTCTTTCTCCGGCCGATGGACGAAGGTTGCTTGTTCTAACCATGGCGAACAGAAACAAAACGTGCTGGTGACCACTTTGTATTCCCATCGTGAGTGGGCGTTGTTCTTATGCCTTTTGGTCAGGTTATATTGGTTGCTGACTTCACAAAGGAGATGGAAACGGAGTTATTGTATATCCACATGTGTTATTGTGGGAGGAGTGCCCATCGGATCAATTTTTTGTCGTAGGGTCGATACTTATCGGAAGACCTTTGGCTATCCTAAGTTGCTTATGGTTCCTGAACCCACATTTTAGAATATCCGAGTTTTTCAAGACAACCGCATACAATTCTCATACTGAATGAATGAATTTTGTTGGCTTGCATTCTGTACTGTTTCTACCAGTCCCATCTTTTGGGATCTGCATAAGGTGTTTCACCTGAGTCCTTATCACAATTTAGTGAATATGTATGAGGATAGTTTTTTACAAGTCCCAGGCAATCACGTGACGACTCAGACTGTGTAAACGAAATGCACGCTTCTGGTCAAGTGTACCAGAAAGTGTCCAGAAAGTTGCACACCTTCCAATTACACGTGCTTTGTCAACGACAGCTGTAGGATCATTACAGCACCGCAACAATTGTGAGCACTACCAAATTGGCTTCCTTAGGTTCTTCTCATTTTGTCGTGGGTCTCGGTATTTTACAATTATTTTCAATTTTAATGTGGAATCCATTAAAAAGTTTTGGGATATAGTGCAAATTGCCGGTACCGTTAGAACATTTTCTCCTCGGAGACTCCTCTACTCTAGATTACCAGGCACGGATACGGGATCCATTTAGGGAGAGGTAGTTTGTAAACCGGAAAATGCGGACATCTTCAGAAATAATGTGGAAAGATTGTAGCTCGGGATGCGGATATTGGTGTCAGTGTGTACTCTGGTCTGGCTAAGAAACCTCTGCGTACAACACACTTCCGAATCGGAGACCCCACCAACACCAACATCCTCACAATTCAATCTTCAGCTAATCTATTTGCTTTTATCAGTCTAAATGGTTATTTTCCAATTCGTGACCTGAAGATGTACTCAGTTTGTCGCATCTTTTGTTCTCCCGTCCCTGTTAGGCATATCTTTGGCAGCTTCCGAGTTTAGAATGTTGACTGGGTTGTTTCATCTCCCAACCACACCGCGACTGTAAAAATAATGGACAAAAGTGGACTAAATTGGGTATTTTAGACAGCAACATCTCACCAGGTGGTCAAACCTCGGTTAGCGTTGGCCAACCTAAAACACATGTGAAGCTGTTGCGATGTTCAGCTGTATGTGAAGGGTTCAGTGTATACCACAGCAGTTATGTCGGTGCGGCTATACGGAGTAGAGACTTAGTCGTACAAGGAAGAGATAAAGATACTCCATCAGTGTTCGAACACCGCTGTCTATGGGGCATTGAACGCGTTTGATTGGGCAAGCAGGGCTGAGATTAGGCGTAGGATTTTAGTGAATCACCGTCTCCAGCTAAAACAAGGTTGAGAGCAATAGATTACGCTAGCTGGGACATGTGTTACGCATGTTACCAAATAGGTTACCTCGACGTGCTGTTAGCCGCAGCAGGTAATGGGAGGCAAAAAGCTCAGTGTGATCAAACTGGGACCTGACATGAAGGTATAAAATCATTACCAAGTGATTCGGTCATATTGGTTGCGTTCGTCTTCCTGGATGGGGAGCTTGGGAATAGTATAATTGATGCTTAAAGACAATGGCTTTTATGAAAATGCTGTTATCGGTGCGCTCTTGAAACTTCTCAATCTAACTGAATCTTCACGCTGACCCAGCTCACCACATTTCGATCTATTCCCTACTCTTAAATGAAATGTAGGCTTTCTGCCCACATAAGCTACTACAATAACAATTACATGGCTAACCAAATTACAGTGAACATAGCCACCGCCTTAAAGTACATGATAACCGTTGTATAAACTGACAGGGAGCATCATTTCAAATATGTCACACTTGATCTTCGAAGGTTGTTTTATGGTGGCTGAGATGGAGTGTGAGTATGTGGGAAAGTTTTTTGTTCGACAATCAATCGCGGTTCGAAGAAACTTGATTAGAACCCACAAACCGCCATAATTGGAGCATAATCAGTTTGATCTCAATGTCCTTTAACAAGTGAGTTGGGTTTCATGTTAAAAAGAAACATGTGTGTTCGAAGAGAAGCGCCCAACTGGATAATCAGTTGCCAGTCACTACTGATTAATAATTACTTTCGTTTCCATGAATCGGAAATTCCCGGTTTTCAAAAAAATATCGCCCGTTTTTAGTTATTTTCATCAGGAAGAGTCAAACTACTAGCATGATTCACTTGTCCATAGTCTACAAAGTGGTGCAAACAAACCCGTTCATCTTCCCGATTACCTTGAATTCCGATGACCAGTTAAACTCACGTAATTCTGTTTCTATAGCACACTGATATCCCTGAATTGCGCTCGATACTGTGGTGAATTGAGCGGGAATCAGCAGGACTATTCAATGGACCACAGTTTCTCACCCAGTAAGAAGGGGCATTTTTTAATGTCATGGTTTGTGCATTCTATTTCATTCCAAGTCAATCAGAATGGAACGTTGTGGGCATCATACGCACACGCACACACGGGACTCACTAAACGGCCATTTTCCACAGGAAGAATAAAGCATTATCTTCACTGTCTAAATCAATCAATTTCCCTCGCTTCGCTCCGCTCCGCTTCACTTCACTTCAATTCTCTCAGCTTTGTTTGTTCCCTACCCGATTGACCAACCGTCCACCCACCCGCTCANCACTCTAACACGTCCCTCGCCTCAACCCCCCCCCCTAACCATTTCTTTTCCTGAAATATTCGACCGTGCGTTTTAGTGAATTAAACAGTCCATCTTCCGAAAAGTAGGTCTGTAAAACTCCAGTTGGCTCACCAAAAAAGGGTATGCCAACTGGTGTGTGGATAACTAACGTGTCAGCGGATCTTCAGTGTGTTGGATACTTATGATAAGGCTCACCTCTATCCCTCGCTCTGCCCAAAGACTGGTCGATAGTAAATGTCAAATAAACCTGTGGTTGGGTGAATGCAATGCTTACCGACTTATCTCTGGCAGTATCTGAGAAAATCGTATTTATTCAATCGTTCTAATTTCTACAGGCAAACACAACCTGGAAGGCCGGAGTAAATACAAGATTCAAACAACCGTACGATGTGCGCAAGATGCTCGGTACCATCCCCGACCCAAATCGCTATCGATTACCCTTCATGTGTACCGTGGGCGGTGAAAACGGTAGCCCGCTCCCAAAGGAGTTTGAAGCGAGCCAAAAATGGCCCAATTGTCCATCGATCACCGAGATTCGAGATCAATCGTCTTGTGGTTCTTGTTGGGTAAGTGAATGGTGGGATGATTTCCGGTCTTTTGCTTGCCACACCCTCCATTTTAAATTTAAGATTATGCACTCTGATTTTGAGTGTTCCATACTACTGAAATACAGTACTGCTATCCTACTTTTCT